CAAAACAAAATATCGAATTCCAGGACAGTGAAGAAGCTTCAACACTTCAAGGAACTCAAGGAGATTCCAAAACATTTTGAAAAGTTCCAGGTTTTCCAGACCACCTTAAGTGTTACAGACACCTGTGAAAATCGTAGATTATCTAGGACATCCAGGACAATTCTGGATATAACAAGTTTGAAAACTATCATGATTTTTCAGACTGTACACTTTTACATTTTCCAGACTACTGTGGAGTTCCTGGATTTCCAACACACTCTGAAAAACTCCAGGTTTTCCACACCATTGTTAAAAATACCAGGGTTAATGTATAATCTGATATACCAGATTTCAGGGGTACTTTGTAAATTCTACACCAGGACCCCTTAAAAAATATTCCGAAACCCCCCAAAAAATGACAGTTTTTCCAACAATGTATAAAAAATCTGATTTTTTAGAACGGGTCGAAAGTTGGGATATAAAAAAGTAGTGAGGACCGTGGCGGCGGCGGCAGTAGCGGATGTCGGGTGCGGGCAACGGGCATCAGAGCACCTGTCTGCCCAGTTTTTGCCCACGGCCATTGTGCTGTCGATGCATCGCCTCTATAATCGTCGGTCACTCCTCACTGCCGTTGCTGCTCGGTTGATTGGAGTCGAGCGGAGCGACTCACCGATGTGTTATTCATCTCAGTGTTGCTGCGTAGCACTTTTTGTCGCGGTTCCTCGATCCCAAAGTCGATCGCTTTTAACGAGTATTTTGCGGTAAGGTTTGTAGTTGTTGATTTAAATTACTTGTTAACAGAAAGAGGTCAAATTTACTTAGATTTAGTTTTTTTCAGACACATTTGTAAAAAAGCGTTTTTTGCGTAGCACTTTTCTTCGTGCTTACTCGGTCTCTAGGCGATCGCTCCAAATTAACATTAAACGAACAAGTTAAAAGTTAGTTTTCAAATTCATGTTTTTAGTTTTCGATGTAGACTACTTTATAGAAGAAATAGTTTTTATTTGGATTTAAAGAAGAAATAGTTTTTATTTGGATTTAACTGAAGCACACTCGTTAGGCAAAAGTGTATAGAATGAGAGTGTAGAATCGTATGTTCTCCATCTTCAGGGTCTAAAAAGTATGAAATGATTACTTACTATATTAGTATGAAGTACTTACAATATAATTTTCACCTCTGCTTCTCAACCCCTGGCCAAGAACATAGTCTGCTACTTTACACAGGATCAAAGCATTCACAAATGGGGCAGTTTAGTTTCTATCCTTCAATGATGCTTGGCGACTTTTTCATGATCGTACCGAAGTGTCACACTACACGGTTTCCGCCGTCCGGTTGAAAACAGTACGAATTTACTTCGTGTCTTAAGTTTCTTTCACACACGGTTTCTGACTGTTCGGCAAGATAATTGTGTTTACAAAATCACGATAAACATTGCAACAGCTGATCTATTTCCACCGGCTGCTGGGCTCCCAAAACCCGAGCAGTATGAAAGCATTGACTTGGATACAGATTAATCTATAGTCAACGATGAAAGCTTTATGAAAGCTAGCATTTATGCTACATGCGCCACTGACGCACGGCCACGGCACGACAACCGTCCGGTTGTAGTGGACGGCTGCAAGACGGTGCGGTTTTCTGCCGTCGCCATCGTGTAGTGTGAAAGCTCTCATGCTCTTCTTTACACTACTAACAAAAGATTCCCCGTATGGTTATTAGCCGTACGGTAAGAACCGTATAGTGCGAAAGAAGCAGTGAACACTAACTATTCACCACTCACTACTCAACAAGAAACAAGATAATATAAAGCCTAGGTACAAAGTTGACTTATGTTCCTTGGGGATAGATATTAATTCGTCTTCAGGCAAATTTTAACCTTACCCGAACTAAACATTTTTGAGAAAATACTTAAATACTTTTCATTGAAATTGCGACCACAGTTCGTATACATGTATGATACAACTACATATTAATTTATTGATCGTTACCATATCGTTGGTTACACATGAGTCAAGGGAAGACTACCCTCATTGTAATGACCGTAGAGACAGTTGATGAACCGGATGCTTACTGCACTTTAAATGACGAGACCAAACATCAAACGGAACGTGAGTGGTGAGTCACGTATGAAATCATCACCATTGAATATCAATTAGTTAATAATGCCACTGACAATTCTATCTATATAAACACTAGATTTACTGTGATAAGTGTCCAGTCGGTTTAGATTAATTCGATAAGGTCCTGATTGATCATACAGTAATCCATAACCTATAAAAACTATTTAAAAATACATACTGTATCTATGATATCCAAGTAAACATGATGTTTCTGTGTAATTATGTCAAACCTTCAAAAGCAAATAAAATTTGTATGCGTGAAACTTGAATTTAAAAAACCTACCAAGTATCTACTCCTACTGAATAAAAAATTAAAATGACTAAAGCACTGTAAACAGTGTACCAAAAATGCACACTTAAAAATGCGCATTACACACTTTGTTTAACTAAAGTCAAATAGCTGTGCAGATTAAGCAAAATCCAAGAGTCTTTTCCTTGTAATTTACTTCAAACTAACAAACGACGTACAGTACACATTTTGGAATTCCAACATAACGAACCCCATTAAGCCGTCCTGACTGTCCGGCGAATTTAAATTTCAAATTTTCGTAGATTAACTGCAAATTCAGAAGAGTTGTCCCAAGAAGAAAAATGGGACAAAACAAAAGAGCGTCAAACCGGTGGTACAATAGTGTATAATTCCAAGGACGCCGTCGCAGGCCGCAAGCATACCAAGTGGTCCTTGCTTTGTACGCTCCGCTTCTGATGTGATATTTATAACAATCATCCCAGGACCTCATGGATAATTTATACCACCAGTTTCCGTTTATTTTCACCATTGAATCGCCGGTGGCACGTGTGGCACTTTTTGATTGGCAAACTGTGATGCTTGAATTTTAATTTGGTAATTCTTCGTACTGTATTATTGTATTGAAATCGGCTGTATTCAATACATGCGTTGCAAGTCAATAGTAATTTCACTCCCTGGGGCAAAACAGAATCTAGGGGAAAAATAGGCACACGTTAAGGCACAAGTCTTATGTCCTAATTAACGTATTTATTAGCTTATATTTTTTTGTATTCTTGTAACCCGTTTTTACTCTTAAGGTAAAACTGTCATTTTGAGATTAAAACTTACCAAATTATAAAAAAATATTTGGAAACGGTAGTTTTTATAAGGTGTAAGGAAAGACAATAGTCAGATACACAAATGGTAGCGGTAGTTTATCTGACAATGTTTGAATTATTTATTATCTTTATGTACTTCAATGTCAAAAAGAGATCTACTTAGGGAAGTTTTATGGTTAGAACTTCCTTAATTATCAACTTGAAAACTAAGTTTCCATTTCGAAATCAATATACTACTAAAGAATACACTAATCTTAGATTGCTATGCTAGAAAAATACTATTAATAACTAAATTGAAAACGTAAACTCTACGCTCACGTTTCTTTTTAAACTGTTCTATAAGTTTCTCGGGCCCGGAAGTGGGGGCGGGGGCCCAGAAGCACGTGTTAGTTAACAAATTAGCCCAGACTACAGCCAGACGTGCCCTGGCATCTCTGGTCGTACCCGGGTGTAATTGGGCTCAGGTGGGAGGGGAGGGGGTGAGGAGAGGGTACTCAGTACCCCTGCCAGACTGCTGGACCCTTCAGCCTAACCTCGATAAAAACCTAGGCTGGTTGGGAATGCCGTAATTAAAATTCCTTTTAAATTGGGCTATCTCAATCAAATTCTCGTTAGGGTTCACTCCCAGTCCCGCATCAGTAGATGGCCTAAACTTTTTTAGTCACTGCATATGCATAATTAATACTCAAAGTCTAGGTTAAAAGGGTTAACATGCAATTTATTTCGTTATGCTGGAATTTAGTTGTAGTTGTGGTATTCCGCATCCCGCATGTATTTGGTGTCGCACTGAATTCTACCACAGACTTCATGTTTTATCTATGATTCTACCGTCCCATTGCGTTCATAAAAACTATCATATTTCGCAAGAAAAATAAAGGTATCTTCAAATTTCAAACAATAGGCTAAATAAGGCTTTTGTTGGAACACGGCGTACAAAATTGATATTTTTACGTTGCTTAGCCAATTGCTCTACCCTCACAAAGAGTTAAACAACAATAAAAAAACGTATAACTTCATACAAAAATACTTAATGATCAAAAGACCTTTTCACGACAAAGGGTACCCATTCTAAACCACAAGGAATTCCAACCGCACGCATTACACGGCCTTTAGTTAGAAGGGTACAATAGCCGATGTAGAGGGTAAGTCGCTATACAAGCGGCACGTACACAAACGTAGCGTGAACAGCGGGCAACACGCAGGCGCAGTGCCGCAGTGTAGTAGTCATGCGCGCGACGAGTCATTCTCTGCGCCGCCACCGTTGCTAATTTTACTGCTTTGTATTTGTTTTGGACGCAATCACGCCCAACCGAGACGGCGGTCTTTGATTGTTGAAATAATTTTGCTGGTTTTTTTTAAGTAGCCTACTGTATTGTAGATCAAAGCTTTTGTTGTGAGAGCTACCATTTGTGCGACAAGTTACTTGCTACTGTCTAAAGCTAGTTGACTGTCGTTTTAAATCAAGTTTAAAAATATGCTTAACTAAATTGCAGAAGAATTTTTTGATCGGTGTTCGTTGTCTGTCATGGGAAATTAAATACATTACGAATCCCACCTGACTGACAAGATGGTTTGCTGTCTGGTTTAATAAGGTGGAAATTCAACAACATACAACATGTTGTGGATTTCCGTTGATAGACAATAATCCGCAATGTGCAAAAGATTGTAGTAGCCTACCGAGCACCGACACACATGTTGTCGTGCATTTTCTTGATTATCTTCTACTTTTACGGTCTCTAAACAATCAACGGATATTTTAGAGTTGTTTGGCTGAATTGTGTTCGTGCACCAGTATACACTACATAAATGTAAAATAATAAAAATACAACACTTACAATGTACGTCGACTGTGGCAGCGCGACTAGCCATGGAGAACCCCGAGGTGGCGTTGGTGGCGATGCACTTGTACTGTCCAGGGTCCGTGGTAGGGTCGACTCTGCGGAACACGAGGGACGGCCCGACCTGGAGGCGGCGAGTGGAGTTGACCACTAGACCACCGTCGTGTTGCCAGGAGTACACGAGCCCGGGGGTGGACACCTCGCACTGCAGACTGGCATGTCCCCCGGCCACCGCCGTCACGTCCGCGGGGTTCTTGGTGAAGTAGAACGCGTCCTCCTGGCCCACCGCGCTACCTGTAAGAGGGACAGAATGAGAAAAGGAAACAAGAGATTGTTTAGGATAAGTATCACCTGGCAAGATTAGTTTCAAAGAAAATTTGACACAATTTATTCGCAAGAAAAAAGATCAAGTCGATATCAGTGTACTATATTGTAACCAGCTAAAATACAGTACTCATAACAGACTTTTAACAGTTTGAGGAGTCCACTTACAGTATTTTGTAGGAAAATGTAGTTTTGAACTATGGGATGCGAGTTGTATATTTGCAGGTAAGGCTCGTGGGCGTGGGATGTCTTTCAAGCTATAAGTCTTTGAATGTGCGACCAAAGAAAGGATTAAAATGGACATTTCGCTGGCCAATGTTGCAGATTTTAACGTAAATAAATGTCATTGTCTAAACCTGAACCGAATAGCATTTGCCAGAAAAGTATTCACACAGATTCAAATGGCTTCAAACAGATCCGATTATTATCCTTATATATCCTATTAGGCAAGCATGTTTCTTGAAGTTTTTTCTCATCTTGAGTCCATCGCAAGAAAAATCTACGCATACTGTAAGAAAGATATTTTCCTGTAGATGTGCAGAATCCCTTTATAGATTACAATAGGTAAAACATAATCACAAAAATGAAAACAAATTAACTTGGACCTTGTGGGTTTTCCATTCTGGTGAAGAAATATAAACAGAAAATCAAAACAAATGAAAGAAACTACAATCATGTTGTATTTTGGCGTAGATCTTCCAAGGAAGACTTAGAGACCAGAAGAGGTATTGTACTTGAATTTTGGTACTTTTAGACCCAAAAATAATGTTTATCCGGTATACGAAAATGGGTTGTATTAATGCAAGCCAGTCAGAGTTGGTTTAAGCTAATAATTAGTAGGGACAGTAGTTAAGCAACACAAAGTATGTGGCGGAGTTGCGCCATTCTCATAATCGACTGTCAGTGATAGCTTGCTGAGTTGACATCTCATGTCATCAATGGCATCAAGTTGTCTTGAGTCCACTCACACTCACAGTTTCTACGACTACCGTTGAAGAATCTCATGAATGAAAACTGTATGAATGACATTTGGAAATTCAATACACACGGGAAAATATATACACGTATTTGTTTAATTACTTTGTACTTTGTGCATTTTGAACACATTTTAGATAGCTTGTTGATCCTATTCTCGTATTAATTGAATTTTTCAATAACTAATTCGGTTTTCACCTCAGTAAATCAGTGAATCTATAACGGAATTTCTCATAATTACATAATAAATTATTGGAGACTTCTAGTTTACGTTTTCAGGGGAAATAACTTTGGACATTAATTTTGTACTGCCATGTTTGAGATGGAATAGCAATAGGAGAATTTACACTCTAATTTTGAATTTACGATCCTAAAAAAATAACTGTATTCTAACTTAACCTAGACACGATTTGGTCTCACGCGTTTACTCAGCCTGTCGGGTCACTTTGACATTTATTTAATTTAAAGTTTCGAACATCAAACTGATTTTCACAACATCGTATTAATTGCAGCAAAAAGACAACACACGTGATAAGTAACCTGTAAAATACTTAACCCCATTCAAACTTATTCGCCTTAACATTATTCAAACGTAAGTTAGGGTTAAAAATAAAACGACAACTCTTCGAGGGAGAAAAGATTTTGTCAAGAGGGTTTCGTCTCGCGCAGTCGAGGAGTGTGAAATTTGAAATCCACCATTAGTAAGACGGGGGTGTCTATTATCCGCCGCGATCTGTGCTACCTAGGCCACTCTAAAAAATTACCCCTTTACAACAATGCGAGGGGAGGCAAATGAGTCTCCCTCTCCGATGCGGGTCGTAAAGAATGACATCACCCCCTCTTCGCCCCGAGATAGATTTGACCAATGTTTGCCATTGTTGGTCTATTGATTGGTCTGACATCTCCTGAGATCACCCACTTGACAGTCTGATGAAAGTGGAAGTGGTGTTTTATTGTAGGTTCCGTTTTCAGGGTTCTGTCTGCGTTTCGTGATTTATTGCCCAACCCAACTTTCTCCCCCGATGAGTGTTGAGCCTTCTGCGAACTTTTGTCAACTTTGCTTCTGAAAAGTTTTCAACCTGGTACGAAGTGTAGAAAAGAAAACAGCTGTGGGTAGTTTGGTTAGTGATGGTGATAACCACTAAACCATGCATTTATTTACATGCACTACTCATCATAACTGTCATTGGAGTAGGAGGTTGTGTATAAATATATAAACATATAGATGTTTATATTTGTGTGTGTGTGACTTAAAAACATACACTAGACCACAAAACGTAGTCAATAGTTCTTGGGAGATAAATAAATGTAGACTATCTGTCATAGATTTTCTCGCAAGTGACGCCATTGCTGATACAGAACCGTATACTAAAGTAGACACCCCACCTATATATAGCATTTATTTTATCGCCAGTTTTTAATAAGATAAATAGCAACCCTATCATAGAGTGAGCTATATAGTATTATGTTTTGTTTAGCTTTCGTACTACGATAGTTGGTTGACGTATAAAAATAAGATGCTACAGGGTTTATAGTGAGTAAAACCACTCTTTTCGTTTGGAATAACCAAAATGAGTTAATGCTGAAACTTCCTCATCAAATATAAACAGGCGTCAACTTGAAATAGAAACTTCTCTTCGAAGCCAACATTCGCGTTTATTGTTCCATTAACAAATTGCTCGGCGGAGGGTTCGTTGCTCAAGAAGTAAAAATTATTAAAGCGAGCTCTCGGCTCACAATGGGCTCTACTCCGCCGGTGAATGAGTTTAGGAACAAACTTAACACTGAGAACTTCAAAGGCGCTACTTCTTGCTTCACACCTCCGCGCTTCACACTTGGCTTTGTCTGCGAGCGTGTTTCATTATAGTGCAACAGCAGCACTCCTTCAATGGGCTCCTACTTGTAATTTTGCAATTGTAATTTCATCTGTAGGAGTTATTTTGGTTGGTATTCATTTGGTAATTTAATCACTGAATCAATGTTTCGATTACGGTTGAATCTAAAGAAAATACTCTCGGTTAGTCGGTTAGGATACTCTCAGGATTGGAGTGTTTGCTGTGGATAGTTAATTTGTGGATAAAACAGATAATATGCGGATGGTTATCCCGATAGCAATAAGATGGCAATGAACAAACTTTCTAAATATTTTTAGATATGGTCGACATTTACAAATATTTAGGCCTAATGGCAACAATATGTAGGGTCAACCGGGGCTAATATGAACATAAAAAGTAAACTTTTGACATTAACTCAAAAATGGTAAATGACAGAAGAAAAGAAAAAATAGTAGTGTATACAGCTCTTTTAGCTGAATCTATTTATTTACTAACAAAAACCATAAATGTAACCATTATTTAAAAAAAAATTAAAAACCACTGTTCACATTAGCCCCGCTAAAAGGGGCTAATGTGAACAGCCCATGGGGCTAATGTGAACACTCTTAATAACTCTCTTATTTACAACACGAGGCATATGTGGGGGCTGTTGTGAACAAGCCTAGGGTCTAGTCTACCAGTTGCAATAAGTCTCAATATTTTATCTTAAATAGTTTTTGAGATATGAAGGTATCTTTGGAGAGCCGCGGGTCGCCCTACGGTAACCCTTTTTTTTAAACCATTTATAAATACTATACAGGGCTAATAATAAGATATAAACAAGAAAAAAATTATCTGTCAACATACCTGAGTACCTATTTATTAAAAATTTCTTCCACATACAAATTGTTTAAAGCACTTAAAAAAACAATAATTTAAGACAATGCAAATTGTTCGTTTAGGCAAATGACAGTTTATTGCACTTTTAGGCCTATTAGGTAAATATAAAAATGTGGGCTAGGCCTATTCAACACCTTAACTGTTGTCTTTGTAAAATTAAAACTGTTTTATCACTGTAAGGCCTTCAAAGAAGTTTATTGAGGAACTTACGCCTCAAAAACTTCGACAATTTTTTCGAAGACATACTTATGTCTATCACTGGTTCCACATACATTAGGGGCTGGAAGTTTCCCCAAAATGTCAGTGGTAGAAACAATAAATATATCATCTTCTTTTTTCAGGAATGATTTTTTTCCTCATCACAGGATTTAAATCCCATCACTTCGATCTCCCCGTCAGCCTGAGCTTGTATATATAGTACAATATATATTGTACTGTATATATTGTTGTTCATAATAGCCCCCATTCACTGTTCACATTAGCCCCCCAACTTTGAAAGCTTATAACTTTGGCTGTTATTAATATATTTTAACTTTGGGAAAAGAAAAATAATCCCCAATTCTTATTTAACAAAATTCAGGCTTAAGATTATTCCTACAACCAATGTAAAAATTGTTATAACAAAAGTTTTCACTTTGCGCGGAAAAGTTTTTTGGGCGGAAAAAAAGTGTTTTAACAAAGTATTTTTTTAAAGTACCTAAAAGTCAAATTTGAAGTTTTCTCATTATGGACACCAAAAATACAATAAATTTCCTTTCTAATTATATTTTTTTCATGATTAAAAATCCCAGATAAATGGCTTTTTAAGTCATTGTTCATATTAGCCCCAATATTTTGGTGTGTTCATATTAGCCCCGGTTGACCCTATGTAATGAATATAATTTTAATTTTGTAATAATCAATAGCCACGTGGTAAATACCAAATATTTGAAATTGTAGGTAAATGTCAAGCTTGGTCTGACCATCGATCTATATAACCTAACTAGACTATATACATCGATGGGTCTAACTAACGCAAGATAATTAGTTAAGAAATAGTAAATAATTACAATTTTGAAAAAAATTATAATAATGCAGACAATACGACAATTTATACAATATGTGATTAATGATTTCGGATACCCCACCCTCAAAGGGGTTTATTTTAGGCAGTTTTCAGGAATAGGCTACCGGTATTTTAGAATTAAGAGTTAAATACGGATGTAGGTTTCTAAGTTACTTATGCAAGATTCGACATAGCCTACCGGTGATATAGAAAAGCATTTTAATTTCTAACAACAGTTAAGGAGCAAATTTCAAAGAAATGTATCATGCTGAATAACATCTACCGTTCCACCTTTTCGGTGAAACGTCTTGACACTTTTAAACAATAATTTCTGTATTCTTTTTAACAATAACAACTCATTTAACCTACTAGCTTACTTTAGCTATTTAAAACAGTTAATATTTTGCCCAATCTCCTAGCATTCAGCCACCCAAAAGCTATTCTATATTTAATTTTTGCACAATTATCTTTATGCATTAGTGATGGTATGATTGTATTCTATAGCATGGCAATCTTCGTAGAATTTGCCTTAAAAGGTAATACCAGGGATATTAGATCAGAAATTGTATGGATCATAAACACAAACAAATTACGTGTTATATGCTATACAGTATCTGGTTGGTAGGCTACGTTTTTTGACGGTTTCATTTAAATAATACAAACATGTTTATTTGGGGCCAGTTTACGTCATTTGTTAATGTTTATGATTCATACCGCTTCTGATATAATATTCATGGGTAAAACATAGAACAATATTTGCGAGCATTTTTAAACAATAACAATCTGCCTAAATATTTACAAATTTGAAATCCAGCAACTAAAATAAATCTAAATTCAAAAACAAAAAATGAACATTACTCACCTAATAGTAATGATAAAACTCCGAACAATATCATGTTCAAGTCAGTCTCTAGAAGCATCAAAACATAACAACAATCGCCGTCAACACAGAGTTCGAACTCGCACTCGCGCCGGCACAGACGGACGCAGAATGACAACAGGAACAGGAACACGTGCGAGACTGCGCGAGCAGCTGCAGTAGTACCAACACAAAAGGATGAAATTTCCCTTTTGTTCAACTCTGCACATTAAACTTCCCATCAGCTATACCCCATATTTTCACGAATATATACGAAAATACTTCTTCAGTTAGTTAATCAGTTCAGTTTTATAATCTATAGAATCATAACCATACACCAACCAACCAACACAAGTTGACTTCTCATCCCATTGTAAATTTTGAAGCTCGGTTTTCGTGTCTAGTTCATGTCCGGTGACACTGATCTCTAGCTATTGTTGACGGTAAATAAAATAGGGTTGATTTAATGATTTGTCCTTTACTGTTATATAACTAAGGAACGAGTTATTGTTTATTATAAGATCGTTCTATTGGGTTAAAGGAGGTTATGACTCAATGACTGAAATAACAAGAAACAAATTGTAAATAAAACACGACCTGAACCAAGGCCCCACTAGAAAACCCTCAACGGTGCACCGGACATTTTTGAATTGTACTTAAAGCCTTAAAAACGTGATTTTCCTCTTAGTCACTACCTCAGGAAAATTCGTGTTTCGCTTCACAACTCGTTTGAAGATTTTAAAATGTAACTGGCCTTGGGTGTCAATTAAATATGTTGATTGAACAAAATAACAATACAAAGTAAACAAAAGACAAAGTAAACATGTGTTTATAACAAGCCATCCCCAGTATACTAGTAAATTATAAAATAGGTAGGTACAGTACAAAGTGATAAACATCAGTTGTAACGATTGAGCAATGATTAGGCTACGGCTACACTGAAGATTAATCAATATAGGGGAAAATCATGGGGAAAATAGAGCAAGTGTTGACGAGTGTTTTGTGTTGGTGACGTTGGAGTGTACTGGTGTCAACTCAATGTTTTTTCTTAGGGTAGATTTTACAAGTGTTATGCACTCTTTTTCATAGTTTACATAATTCAGTCATCTATATTCATAATACATTGAAATTAACTGGAACTTGAACAGTAAAAGCCAAAATTAGTTGTAAAAACAGTAATTTCCTTAATATTGTTTTTACAATCAAAATAAACTATACGGAGCCATGGCTCGGCCCCGTTACTGTAATTTAGTAACGAGTTTGGCCACTGAGCCACCTGAGAGCTTAGTGAGCTGTTTGTGGTTCAGTGATAGCATGATGTACTAGGAATAGGGGTAGGTTTGTGTCCTGCCTGGTACCCAAAAATAAATTTGATCAGTGCTGTACTGACTCACCCCTTGCCTTGCTAGATACGTTCATAGGATCTACGTTCATAGGACGTTTCGCCTACATAAGGGCGAACAAGGCGGTGCCTGGGGCCCCGCACAGCCGTATTTCAGGTATTAAGGGAGGCTCGCTATTGAACTTCGCATTGGGCCCCCGCAATCTCTAGGGCCGCCACTGGATACGTCCCATGCCTGGAATTATGTGGTTGGGCAAATACAAGATTACAAGATGCCTCTAACCTCTTTGAAGAATAAAAATGAACTGCAATACACATTCATCCTTTGAACCCTCTAGGCCAAAGTCTCAGCCAATAGCCATTAATTTACAACAGGTATTTACTTACAACTGAATATGTAAGCATCATCAAAAAGGCTTAAGGTTGTACCATCTGTCGGGAACCATGAGATGTCACTTGGAAGTCATTTAAAATTTTCTACCTGTATTGTTGGAATAGTAGACTATTATACTCAAGATCATTATGACCTAGCGGTCTAAGGAATTGTTTCACTCCCCACGAGACGATATCACAGATTAAAGGCGAGGTTTTCTAGCAGCCAAATTTGGCTATGGAATTTTAAAAGCCATGCAATTGTTTTAGTACCTTTGTTGAAGGTAGATCCCTTGTTGAATTCGGCAGCAAGAAACTTCATCACAAGCAGGTTTCTGCTTATGCAACTCTTGACGAGTTAACCTGTCTTGGCAGAACTGGCATAGGTAGCAAAAATAAACAGTTAAGATGGACATTTTAGATAAAATTCGCAATGCAGCTTAAGGATAGGATGTACAGATTCTATGTTAATTGATTGCACTTATTTTTGTTATGTCCACTGTGTTTGTGAGTGAGTGTCTGTGTCCGGTGAAGAATTTTAATTTTCATCTTCGTAGAAGGGGAGGAGCCATGTTTAAATAGACAATATTAAATCAAAGCATGGTGGAAGCGGAAGGAAAAAACATAGGTGTGCTATTCCCACATATTCTGACGTCACTCGGATTGCAAACAAAAGATCACCTGATTGTAACTGTCAAATTAGTATATGTGAGTGAAAATTTAAAAACGTACGTTTTCATGTCCATGGCCTTTTACTTCGTAGATACTGGATTTGTAGTTTATTATTATGTGTTTTAATATTTTTTGGGACGGGGGCAACATGTTACACACATTTATTTGGTTTTAAATAGGTTCTAGGTATTTTTTTCGTATTTTTAAAGTTTCGAAATTCACGACCATGATGTGTCCCTAGGGTACATTTTCCACCTTTCACGCTGTTTTTAGACTAATTATTCATGCCGAAATATATAAAGCCATACTTTTATGTCATCAATAGTTATTAAACTTACAAAAAAGGAGCATATTATAATTTTATTGTCATTACAAACTGACTACCATGACAAAATAAGTCTGTCCCTCGATTTGGCGTCACGACCATTTGGGAAAAATTTTCAACTTTGGAGCACGACAGTGGCAAGCCTGGCGTCGATGGAGTCAGTTGGTTTTAGAGACTAGTTCGGGGTGTACGTCAGGATTGTAGTGCCGGTCGTTTCGAGTTGAAAGGAGGAGTTACAAGATTAATAAAGGAAAGATTGTGGTTTTTGTAATTTTGGTGTGTCCATGACCGTACGTAGTCATTTGATGAAGTAGACATGGTGTTAATTTTTGTTTATAAGATATTTCAATTGCTAGATTAACCTAGAAGTCCACTTTGTATCCTCGAACATGAGGTGCAGGGCTACCACCAGAACAGAGCCAAATAACTCGTAATTTCACGACCAAAGTTTCACGACCATCGCGGGTTTTTTCACGACCAATCCAGCCTTATGGATTATAGCGTGTTTGGTCGTGACAATAACTTTAATATAATTGTAAATTGAACAGTTTAGTGCAATTGAAACACATATTTTTATTATAACTAACAGGATAATTGAAGGATTGTTTAGAAAGATTTAGATTATTCCATACAATTCACGACCGTACCACTTGTCCCTGACCATCACGTTTATAATTTCTATCATAAAAATTTCAAAAATTAAAATATCGTCATATTTCAATGTTTTATACACAAAAGAAGCAGACCTCTATACAAACATAACGATTTTTCGGGTCTCAGGTAAGTTTTTTCGGAGTTATACAAACTTAAAAAGATTTTATTGGCTTTTTTTCAATTTTTTGAGTTTTTTTATTTTTTTCTAGAAAGACCAAATATACCAAAAGCTCAGTGACCTTTTTATTGTATAATGGTCATAAAAGTAAATTAGTTTATAGCATAACATAGTTATAAAAATAATATTAACTATTTTTAATATTCATTTAAACGTCCGTTATGGTCGTGACAGGATTTTGTGTTTTTCTACTAAAGATGCTTTATTAAAAAGAAACTACCAAACATATTGCGTTACCATGGACATTTTATGCAACTTCAAATGTTAATAAAATAAAAAAAATAATAAAAGTGTTGAAAAAAAGGGAAAAAAATTTGCAAAGTGCTTTTCCTGAAAACGTACGTTTTTAAATTTTCACTCATGTATTTGTTTTGATTTGGTTGTTATTGTTTTTATTATTATAAAAACAATAACAGAGTGAAAATTTAAAAACGTACGTTTTTAGGAAAAGCAATTTAAAAATTTGTTGTCCCTTTTTTTGAAACCTTTTTTTTATGTCATTGACATTTGAAGTTTTATAAAATGTCCATGGTAACGCAATATCTTTGGTGATTTTTTATTAATAGAGCATCTTTGATGGAAAGACACGAAATTTTGTCACGACCATCACTGACATAAAACTGAATATTAAAAATAGTTAATATTATTTTTATAACTATGTTTTGCTATAAATTAATTTACTTTTATGGCCATTATACAATAAACAGCTCACTAAGCTGCTGGTATATTTGGTCTTTCTAGAAAAAAAAACTCAAAAAATTGAAAAAAAACCAATAAAATCTTTTTAAGTTTGTATAACTCAGAAAAAACTTACATGAGACCCGAAAAATCGTAATGTTTTTATAGAGGTGTGCTTCTTTTGTGTATAAAACATTGAAATATGATGATATTTTAGTTTTTGAAATTTTTATAATAGAAATCATAAACGCGATGGTCAGGGACAAGTGGTATGGTCGTGAATTGTCTGGAATAATATAAATATTTCTAAACAATCCTTCAATTATATTGTTAGTTATAATAAAAATATGTGTTTCAATTGAACTAAACTGTTCAATTTAGAATGATATTTAAGTTATTGTCACAACCAAAAACACAGTATAATCCATAAGGCTGGATTGGTCGTGAAAAAATCTGCGGTGGTCGTGAAACTTTGGTCGTGACATTACGTGTTATTTGGCTCTGTTCTGGCGGTAGCCCTACACCTCATGTTCGAGGATACAAAGTGGACTTCTAGGTTAATGTAGCAATTGAAATATCATATCAACAAAAATTCACACCACGTGTACTTCATCAAATGACTACGTACGGTCATGGACACACCAAAATTACAAAAAACACAAACTTACCTTTATTAATCTGGTAACTACTTCTTTCAACACAAAACGACTGGCACAAAAAACTTGACGTACACCCTGATCTAGTCTCTAAAACGAACTGAAGCAATCGACGCCAGGCTTGCCACTGTCGTGCTCCAAAGTTGAAAATTTTTCCCAAATGGTCGTGACGCCAAATCGAGGGACAGACTTATTTTGTCATGGTAGTCAGTTTGCAATGACAATAAAATTATAATATGCTCCTTTTTTGTAAGTTTAATAACTATTTATGACATCAAAATATGGCTTTATATATTTGGGCATGAATAATTAGTCTAAAAACAGCGTGAAAGTTGGAAAATGTACCCTAGGGACACGTCATGGTCGTGAATTTCGAGACTTTAAAAATACGAAAAAAATACCTAGAACCAACCTATTTAAAACCAAATAAATGTGTGTAACATGTTGCCCCCGTACCAAAAAATATTAAAACACATAATAATAAAGTACAAATCCAGTATCTACGAATTAAAAGGCCAGGGACATGAAAACGTACGTTTTTAAATTTTCACTCAACAATCATATCAAAACAAATACATACCAATTTGACAATCAGGTGATTTTTGTTTGCAATCCGAGTGACGTCAGAATATGTGGGAATACCACCTATGTTATTTCCTTCCACCATGAAATCAAAGCATAATCCTAGGGGCTCAACAGGTTGGACAGACTTCAAGCTACAAACACAATTTCAAAATCAAAGGCTAAAGAATATAATATAATAAACATTTATTAAAAAAACAAAACTGTACAAAAAACTATTAAAGGTATATCAATAATAAAATCTGTAATCATGTAACATGATTCGTAAAAGTTTAAATCCCAACAATGTCATTTGAGATGTACCCAAGGCACAGAGTTTACTTCTTCTTGCCACTGAACCCAGCCTGTTCTAGGACTAGCCGAGCAGCGTTGTTGATGTGACGAAACCTGTCAGGTCCTAGATGTATCCCTCCATACCATCGACTGACAACCACTACCACGTTCATCACATTCATGATCTGAAACAATTAAAACAAGTGATGGTGTTTTCCTATTTATTTCTCCCACTCCTCACTTATTTACTGACTGCAGATTGCCATGTTACTATGTAAAGAAAAACCAAAACCACGTATCATGTAAACAACGCTAATTGTTAATGATGCCACGATTGGGGAGCGAGCTGGCGTAGTGGCTAGAGCGCGGGACTTCGGTCCGTGAGGTCCCGGGTTCGATCCCCGCCAAGTCACCAATGGATTTTATCTAAGTGATAATGCCGCAACCCCTAGGTCTAGCCTGAAGTAATGTGAAAAACAATCCCAGGCTCGTGCCTAGCGTCCTAGGACAAAAAAAAAAAAAAAAATGATACCACGATTAGCCACGACCGCTAAGCATGTGAAAGCCAATAAACAATCTAAAAGAACAACAAATATCCTAGCCTGACACCCATTTATTAGTTAAGACATTGAAAATAATTGTCAACATCTTTAAAATTTGTCAATAACATAGGAATAAAACTTTCAAATAGACGACATTGAGATTTCAAGAATAATTATAAATATCCTCCTTTATAAATATCCTAATAATCACTGTACTCTTCAGGTTAACAGTATTGAAATTATAAATGTCAATACAAAATATTTCCTATTTTTGACTAATGATGTAACAAGTCAAGTACTTAGTCAACTATTGTAAAATGAACTCAATTCTGCTTTGACTCAAGCCAATACTTTAGTTACTCATTTGCGGCACTGGACTCAAAGTAGCAACTCAGAGCACTAATCTGACTTGAGTCCATTTGTATTCGCATTTGGAGTTGTTCGTAGTTGCAATACAGAGATTACTTTGACTCGATTTTGTACCTACTAGGTCCCTAATATAGACCTAGAGCATTGTTGACTTGTAGTGGCAAATTTGAAAACCATGTTTTAGTATTCCACGTATAAATCAGTTTGTGATTCCAGTTAGTTGTAAGCTATCTAGCGAGATCAGCACTTAAGTATCAAAGGGGAAGTATTGAGTTGACACTGTTTAACTCAATATCTATTGTGGAACGTACAACACTCGTCACACACTATGTTTGTCTCAAGGCGCTGTTAGTAGGTGTTCTTATAATTGACACTGGTCTACAGGGTCTACACACTTGCAGTAGATGAAGCAGTCTTCCCCCAGCTGCAGTTTCCCCATCATCCTCACAGTCCTGAGCCAGACAACCATTCTTCTCCACTCGGTAAGCGTACATGTTGTGAGTGGCATTGGCTATCTTTCTGTTCTCCATGAGTGACGATAACACTAGCCTGAAAATATTCTGGGGTTAAAATCTACAGCAATTAAATTCAATAAATGAAATGTAAAATAAAGTAAGAAAAAAGTAAACATAAACAACAACTATTTATGAGGAAAAACTTGGGTTTGGATTGGATCATGGTAATGTGATTTAATACAAACGCTGCAGCTGCAGCACCATAGATACTGTCATTAACCATGTGGGAACCAATCCACCAAATTTGGTCATATGTTTTTTTGATCTCATTTTAGTTTTATAATTGTACTTCCAACAACATATTATCTTTATAAACTACTATATTTAGTTCTTAAAGATCTTATTATCAAAAGGCTACTACAGTATTTTTTCACATTTTTTACCACAAAAACATATGCCTGTTTATACATTTATGACATTTTTTCCTTGCTTTAGACATTTTTATTTCAACACCCAAAGATGCTACATCACAATGTGTGTTCCTACTTCAAGTAGCCACAAATAAGAAAAACCATGAGCACCTTAAAAAAGAAAGAAGACAAAAAATCAAAGATTACACGATGAAGCTCTTCAACATGATACCAAGGAAGATTAGGTTAATTGGGTATCAAAGTCTAAGACGTCGATTTTGCCAAAGACATTGGAGGGCACGATGATTAAGATTTTATTCTGACAGTGACAGGAATTACGAAACCGTTTCGGACGTTTTAAGCCATAAATGAACATTGTAAATATCTATAACTCTTCCAAATACAAGTACTTCACACATTTCTGTTTCTGTCTTAATGCTGATTAAATAGGTACCATCCTAAATTGCCGATGTGCTGCCGCACAGAAATAAAATGTAGTGCCTTTTCTAAGCAAGCGGACTGATGAAAACTTCATGCTAATAAAAAATTAAATCAAATTAATAAATTTAATTACATAGTAAATATTTAAGTAAATAAGTACAACTGAGCACCTTGAATATTATATTTTATAAAAAGAAGTGACATGTTTCGGACATTAGTCCATTTTCAAACTTCGAAATACATTAAACACTTAACTGTTGTTTATATTGTTTGTTTTTAAATAAATATAATTTATATATACAGATGATTTATAGAACTAGACAGGATTTGGAAAAACATTTTTGTTACTGATTATTTAATTTTAAAATTTGGTCAAAGATTGGGTTTCTTGAAGGAATTTGGCTATTTAAAATATATAAATTTAATTAAATTTAAATATATGTAAGTATTTAATTACATAGATATTTTTGGATGACTAGTTAGGACTGAACAGAAAGAAGACTAGAGCACTTTTTGAGGATGTTAAGTTCTTTGAAATTATGAAACAGTGTAAACAACTGTATTAACTAGCACATTAATATTATCGAATTTTACAAAGAAAACACTTACTTGACTTGTTCCACAGATTTAATTACTGCCACGTGACCCTGAAATATGCTCTTTCTATCAACAACAGTTGTGCCATGAGTGATGCGTGGAACTGCTAAATCCTTTGTTTCAGGGGAAGTTTCTAAAGACAATTGGGCTACTGTAAGATTGATTTCAATATCAGTTTCGTCCTCAGGTGTTTTGCTAACATTTTCTCTTTCTTGAAGGAACTCTTTAACAGCTTCAACCCATTGGTATAAAATATTTTCACCGATATTTTCTCTGAAACATAAAACGTAGCCTAGTTTATTCTTAATTCAGTTAATATCCCTGTCAATTTAATTTAGTCATATTTCCCATATGTCTTTATCTTTTTGATGTGGTAGATATTTAAAACTGAGAGGACTAGATGTTTTGGCATCAATCATAAGTTTAACAGCTTTGCTTGAATGCAAATCATACACAAGTGTTATGCGGTGAAAATATGGTTTAAATTCATGACATTTGATCTGTTAAGTTTTAAATAAACAAAAAGCACTTCCTTTCTATTGTAAATTTTAAATTTCAAATTCAAACCTTACATGTAAACATTTTCTAGTTTGCTTGAAAGTTGTTGCTTATCTTGTCGGGTCAGAGTTGGGGCGGACAGCTGATATATTGGTGGAGAAGTTCCTGGATATCCTGGAGGCAGTGTAATATACAATATCACCTCACGTCCGTCCTCCACAATACGGATACTGTAGGCTTGATTACACTCATCTTCTGTGCGCCACTCATCTCCGTATATAGAGCAGAGTGCTTCAATTTCCTCTGCCTTTAAAACAGAAGTTATTAAACGCATATTGAGGAGTAGAAATTTTACAAGATGGAAGATTTACTTGTAGCCTAATGTTAGACATGCTTGATGAACAATTTCCAATAGGCTACAGTTTAAGGTTGAGATGAGTTAAAGATTTGCCTATTTCTGCCTTGTAGAAATGTACCCTAACAGACTATCACCCTTTTTGTGTTTTCGTTTTCATACACATGATTTTTTGACCATGAGTAAAAAACAGAATTATCGGCGCTAACGGCTGATTTTCTTTTTTACACTACTTACCTGATGAACTAACCCCAAAAGATTAAATTATTTTAGCACATTATTAACTTATAGCAATGTTTATATAAACATGGTAACTTAAACAGAAAAATTTCTGAGAATGGAGTGGAAAAATTCATGTGGGATAAAACAGGATGTTTCATTTAGGCCCAGTGGTGGCGTTCCCACTCTGCTTTTTCCAAAGAACCTATATATTGGGCAAGCGACCTCTATTTTTCCAAATTTAAACTATTAACAGATCCCAAAAAATGTTGTAGAACTGTTTACGGTACTTTGGTATTATCTGGAGGCCACTTATTATTTATTATAGAGGGACTTTTTCCGGAGACCAAAATTAACTACATAATTGGAAAGAATATACTTTAATTGACTTACTGTCCAAATTTGACATGATTACGATTAGCAGTCTTTGAGTTCTGCCCAGAAGGCAGCTATGTCGTCAAGGATTGAGTTGAATGCGTTGCCGCCGCTAGCTGCCACATATAGGCCTACTCCGCCAAGTAGGTATACACGCACTGCGGCGGTTATGTTGAGTTGGGTTATCATAAATATGTTTGTAGGACTTTCCTCGTTAAAGGTACGTTTTGCCTGAAGCGACAGGTGCGACGGTCGCTAAGCGACTGTCGCCGAGCGGCAGTCGCGGGGTGGTAGACTGTTTTGCTTGGAGCGACAACTTCTTTGGCGTCACGAGACGTGGTACCGTCAGTGCACCTAACCTCAAAAGTGCGCACTAAGTATAAAGTCACTAAATAAAATCGATAAATTCACTTAGTAAAACAGGTAAAACTTAACAAATGAAGTATTCCTTGTAGGCCTAGTTATTTGTTATAAGAAACATTCCAAAACTGCCATGTCACAAGCCAAAATGTAATAAAATTACTCAATTTCTCCGTAAATTGCAGTACACAAGCATAACTTGAATTGGAAATCAGTGTTATAAACAACCTCCTCACAGAGTGAAAATTATATTTTATTGATTGTATTGTAAATGAATAAAATACCAATTACATGATATACTCCATTAATATTTGAATAACCACATCACTTTAATAATTGGCATTCTATATATTTAAATATGACACGCCTGACTTTTAAACCAATTTGATCAATAACCATTTATACAGAGCAATATTTGTTTGAATCACCTAAACGAAAATTTAATTAGGTCTTTTAAGTCGACAATCTAAATAATCTACTAAAAATTTTACTTAATCACAGCCGTTGGCCGACGCCATATAGCGAAAATAAAAGGTTCCCGAACTTGCCATAATGGTGTAGACTATAAAAACAATCAGAAATGTAACTGTCGCTAAGCGACTGTCGCTCCTGACTGGTCTTGGAGCAGTACCCAGCGACTGCAGCTCGCGGCTCTAGCGACAGTAGCTCCAAGCAAAACAGGACTATGCAAAACCCCTTTGATCAGTGTCCCGCGACTGTCGCTTCAGGCAAAACGTACCTTAAGGTATGAATCAAACAATACAAGATGGGAGACCACTCAGGACACTGACCCAGATTCAAGGCGGTGACCAAGATGTATGGAGTAAAAGTAATCTTTTACTCCATAGGCCTACATCTTGGGCGGTGACAGGTGATGCGCGTGTTCTGGTCAACAACCTGACTTTAATCTACTTGGAGAGGATTTGGCAGGCGAAAGTATGACTCATCTGGTATCGTTTGATTCATAATGAAACGGGGAAAGTCCTGCAAACATATTTATGACAACCCAACCTAACATAACTACTGCAGCAGGCTGTATAAAGGGTGGCCTCCGGATAATACCAAAAGTATCCTGTTTACTTCTTCGAACAAAAAAAAAAGAAAATGGTCCTGTAACATTTAGACACGTGATCACTGGTCTCAAATCTTTCCTACGAGAACAATGGTTTCAGTACCGCCCACTACCTGCTGATCTAGTCTCGTTAAACCGAAGTGCTGATAAAAGAGATGTTATTTCTGCCGAGTGTAGTCCGGTTAAACCAATGTCTGGTTAAAGGTGTCCGGATAAGAGGGAGTCTACTGTAAGATACAGTTATATTAGTCCAACCAGTTTCAAATAGGCCCACCTAGTGATGCGCGATTACGCTTATCGATTGTCTCGATTACTTTCCCTGGCAGATAGGCTACAATAGAAATTGGATGATAAAAATTTCCAATGTCGTACTTAAAAGTCTCCCGGTAAGGACTTCTCGGTTCTCTTTCAGACGAATACAAGAGAAGCCAGCCGTGCTGAAACAAAACAATCGCCAGAAATATCTCGATAAAAACCTCTCGGTAAGAACCTTTTGCTAAGCAAAAATATAATCGAAACAGTTGCACTTATTATACTACCCAGCTGATAAAACTGTTCTAAACTAAACCTAGCCTTAACAACACATGAGTATGTGGGTAAATGTAGAACAGAAACTAAAGTGCAGCCATCGAAAAGTCTCAAGAGGTTCAAGCAATTAAAACTTTTCGGTTGTAACATCTCGCAATCGCGCATTACTAGTTTCAAACTGTTAAACATGGTCATGGAGCAATTCAAAAACAAGGTTAAGTTAGGGATAATTTGAAAGTGTAAGCCTACTTAGCTAAGTCAAATAATTACATTTTACTTCCTCTTTATATTTGGTCGACACTTAACACTTCTAAACAAGGCATAATATCAGAATACTAACCTGTCTTGAAATGTTATCATTAGGCCTATCTTCCATATTTATCTCCAGAATAGCAAGTTATAGGTTATCATCCAAAACTGAATCCCAAGTTCTGATTTAAAACCATTATTACAGGGAAATAAATGCATGATAACAAAATACAAGTTGAAGGATGGGTAAATTGCCTGTTTGCTGGAAAAAAATAAAGATGATCTTTACAATGTAATTAATTAATCAAATTAATTGCAATGAGATTGCATTGCATAACAAGGTGTAAAACAAAAACAAAACAGGCAGGAGGAGGAGGGCAGACAGCGACAGCACAGCGACAGCACTGACAGCTGACAGCAGAGCAGAATCACGAATACAGTGTCAGTAAGACCAAGACAGACCAGTAGGAAAACCAGAACAGTGAGGGAGCAAAGGAGAAAACCAAGTTTAGTCTATGGTTTAATGTATAACTCAAGTTTCCCCGTAATATCAATCATCGGGCAATGGTCCTGTCACTTGCAGAGTCAATAGTCAGTGCTAATCCTTTCTTTGGGTTTTTTTTTCATTTTCTTTACCTACCTGTGGCATTTTCAAAGGAGGTATTGCCTAGCTACATCATCAAATAAACTCTTAAAAACACATAGGCTAATAAGGGGAGAAATCGTATTTACAAAAAAAAAACACCTCAAACATTTTTATAATCTATTGTTATGGAGGTAATCATTTAGAAAATGAAACAACCCCCATTGCTGTAAAGATTAGGTTTCAAACGTATCAAACGCATTTGTTGTGATTTTTCCCCTTTAGCTAATTGTGTACTAGGAGCGCAAAGAAGGTCATTGCCGCTTGAGAAAAAGCTTCATGTAGCCATATACATTACATTAGCGCGGCAATGACTGTTTGTGCTTGTAATAGACACAAGACTTTTCTTTCCACCATAATTAACTTATCAAAACATGCAGATTACTTTTTAGTTGTATATAAAATGCCATTTACGCTATGTTATTTGCTATCAGTTGTTAACTTAGCTGATCCTTTGGCTGTGGTTGGGGTAGAACTCCAAATGTCACCTTGCAAGCAGGAATGATCCACTCTGGCTCTAGAATGTAAATGAGCTATTTTGCGCACTGTTTACAAGTATGGCAATGTGATCATTTTGATGCAATGGTAAGAACAAACCTATAGTTACTCCCACCCATGATTACCCATGATAAAGGTTTTGATGCCAATCTAGTGGGTTTGCATATGAGTCAGATTGCTGATATCGTTTATTTTATCTTGGTTTAAAGTTAATGGGAATAAGTTTTGACAGCGAGGAGACAGTAAAATACAGTAAATAATAAAGTTTTTATTTTGAGATAACATTACACAACACATTTTGCAAACAACAATATAGGTAATACTGTTGTGGCAAAACCTAAACTTTTCTTACCTAAGCTTTCTTCTTCTAGTTTAAACAATGAACTTTTAAACATCTCACAGTTAATGAAACAGGTACTAGAGAAAATTTTACAGCTTATATTAGTTTTGAATAGTTGTAAAAGATTCTGAAATGTAGTTAGTTAAACTAATTAGCGATTTCATTAATTCTATTTAAGGTAAAACCTTGAAGATTAACAGTACCTGTACTGGTAGTGATCTAAAACTTCCATCAAAATTAACAATAAGCATATAACTGTTATAATTTAACCCATTAACCTTCCTTGAGTTACCTTAATGCCACATAAACACATATCAATATTTCATCTTTTGTGTTAAATTAATGTTTAGTCGCTCAATATGAGCACCAGATAAGAGTTACATGTTCAAATAACTGATGTAGATACTTTCATACAACAATCAGTTATAACATGATGTATTTTTTTTGTTCCAGAAAAGTTTTTATAATGTCACAACAAAGCTATACAAAGATGTGACTTATAAACATATTTCTTGTACAATTATTGTACATATTGATTATTTCCAAACACATTAATTTATGTGGTTATTACCAAAGTATAAAGTATTGAATTATTTACTTCTTTGTAAAGAGTCTCATCATTATCACCTATTCAGACATTTTCTTCCCATATTATTCCAAACATTACTCCATCCCATATTTGATTTAAAAGTCCATATAAAAAACAAAAAACATAATAAACAACAACATAACTTATACTTTTAAAGTATTTAAAAATAATAAGGCCAAAAACAGCCTGTCTTTGACAATACTGTACAATACCTTAATACAGATAATCTTTCAACTTAATTTAAGTTAATATTACTCACTACTTCTATAGACAAAGTAAGAGGTAAACAAAAACAGCATATATTACGTTTGACAAACACATTATCGAGTACACAAAACAAAGAACACTTTTATCAAACGTATTGATACGCAAGAAAGGAAAATGTGACGAATCAAAAGCGCACTAATAAAACCCTGCAGGCTTTTGGTAATCCAAATGGAAAGGTAAAATAAGAATCTTTCAGAAGCCTTTCATAGTAACACATTTCAATTAGACTTGAAGAGTATTTTCCATTCATACTTTTCAAACAAATTTTAAGGATTATCAAAAGCCTACGACTTTTCTATGACTAGATCTAGACAAGTGGTTCTAAAACACTAAAAGAATATAATGCAAACTGTGGCAGCTTATGTACTAGCACCAACTAACTGCGCTATCCAGTTAGTGATGCACTAAGTTATGGGAAAGTGACAGCAATCCGCTGTTACTGGCGCTACTACTTCAACTGCTGACTTTCTAAGGTACAAAACTTGTGTACAGGCAAGAAAGATCCATTGAGAATTTTTAAACATTACTTCTCAAACAAAACTATTGCACAAATATATCTTGTTGCGTTTTTTTAAATTACAAAATGAACAAGTTTGGGAGAACTAACACATTTTTGCTCTAAAAAATGATCTTGTAATCCATGGAGTGAGCTCAATGACTAAGGGGTTTTCATGTAAGAGAAATGTTTGAAAAATGTTAGTATATTTTGTGAGTGACAATTAAAATGGAAATTTGTTATGAGCATATTTTAAAATTGCCTTTCAGATTATTTATGATCCGGACAATATCTTTTAAGTAACTCTAGGACAATGTCTAACATTGTACATCACCTAACGAAAGAACACATAATGATTTGTTTACGAATTGGTCAAAATTTGTAAAAGGAATGTTCAATTCTCGTATACACGAGAAAAACTAACAATAATAACAATCAATGATTAAGGTATCCACCCTACTAAGACTCAGTTTTACAATGTACAAAAACAACTTAAATGGAAACTATCGCAACACCAAATAATATCCATGTAGATTGCAACTAACAAAGTTTTGGTTGAATACCTACGACGCGATTGGTAGAGACGACTAGCTAAACTCAAAATTTACTTCACGCCGACCGTAGCAGTCCTGATTTTAACATAGACGAGTTTTGTTCAGCTAGAACCATCAAATTCATTATTACTTCTTCAATTGCAACTCTAAAACACTGAGTGACTAACAACGGATGGTCGAGTGATTTAATCCACCATGAGCTCAAAGTGAACAGAGCCGCGTCTCTCCATACGATCATGGAAGATGTTCTTAGCCCAAGCTTTGCACTCAATGTTGATCAAGACTCCAGCTGAAAATAAAACAATGTACTGATTAGTCAAATAAAATTGTTTTTCATCATACTGCAGCAAAACCAGCCGTTTTTTATACATACTTTGTGGTCTAAAGTAGCATTTGTACTCCCAAGGGGGTAAAAATCAGCTGTTGTAAACAGTTGCAAATTTCGATGATCCTAGCATGTACATGTGGATCGACATTATTTATCATGGTTTAAGACATATTGATGTGTAATGAAGGGCAACACAATCGTTATAGACAAAATTAATCATTATCTTATTTACAACGGCTTATTTGAACAACTTGTTTGAAACAGCTGTTTATTTACATTAACAGAATTGAAAACAAGCTCAAGGCTGTTTTGAAATGTTACTTCATATGAAAAGTCATTTCGTTTTCTAGCGTAATTTTTTAATTAATTAATGTGATGTAATTAATGTGAAAAAAATATGGTTTCTCACAAGGGAAAAAGTTTCATTTCAACCCTCGTTCACTTTCCTATTGAATCAAAAAGAGTCGCTTTAAGCCCTAGAGATGAAATGTACTTTTACAATACTACAACTTCCTACAAGGGGGGGGGGCTCTTAATTCTTTAACTAAGAGGAAAACGAATGGCCAATCTCTAGGTGAAATTCACCAAAAAAGGACTGGCTGCTAAATAGTTCTTGATATAGGTATTATTTAGCATTTGGGCACAGCTGACCTTGATCCTTGAGCTGGCTTAAAAAAATGGACTAAAAAACAGCCTCTCCATGCCAAGTGATGGATCTGCCACTAAGCAAAAGGGAGCCACAGCGATATTATACAAAAACAAATCTTTAGAACAAAAATTTAAATTATAATTCTCAAATTAATTAAAACTATATTTCCCAAAATCAGGGCTGATGATGCTGTTCTAGTCATCTCGGGAACTATTTCTCTGCAATAGAGGGATACGGTACAATAATTATGTCTCCTTGATCGCAGGAGATTTAACGATTTTGCCGCTATCACTTCCTTGATAACAGGAGATATTTAAGATTTTCCCACAATCGTGGGTGAAAACGATGAATGATGATGTCTCCTCAATCGCCAAAGATGTTCAAATTTTCGCCACAATCAAAGGGAAGGTTCACCTGAGGGGTGGGGGCCGTTTAAGTTGATTTGGCCTCGAGCCGCAAGTACTCTAAATACGACACTGTCCATGCCACACTCGTCTTCAATTCATATTTGGATTGAAATCCATATAAGTGAATCTCCCTCTCAAAGATGATGTACTTCCCATGAATTAGTGTTACTAGCCAAGATTTTATCCCATAAAAACCGTGTTAGTGCCCGTGAATCCCATTACACGCCCATGAATGAACAAATTTTCTATGCACAAATCTGCCTTCCTGCCCACCAATGCTAACTGTTACGAACTAGTCTTCCAGCATAATTTATGTATTGGTCAAACTGCCCCAATTTTGGTCTTAATCTTGGAATTGGTCTTACTGTCCGTAAATAGGTCTTATAACGTTCATTGCGGTTCTAACTGAGCAAGAGCTACTTACGTGTGGGGCTTTCAAACCATAGGGCAATCACAGGGCTCAAGTATCCTTCCTGGTTCTTGTAGGGGAAGAAGTAACCGGGGAATCCCCTCTTGGGGAAGTAGTGGATGGAGCCAATGTTCTCCACATCTGCCGGGTTCTCTCCTTCGCATGACACCCACACTGTCTTAGCCTGAAACATCAATGGTCAGCAGTCAGCTATGTTGTAAGTTAACTTACTTTATTATTTGTTGTTACCTTCCAAGTGACAAAAGGTGAACATTTGACACCTAGACCTTCTCTTACAACTATCTATGCATGTATAATCTTCAACTATCAATAAACGTAGACAAACTATCCTCATGTTGAAACATTAGCCAGTTTAAGAATAAAAATGGACATAATAATTGATCAGAAGCTCATGTCAGTAGCCATGCCATAGCCCCCTCTAATACAACAAGACCGCAGCCTACAATGTTGCAGCATCAAACTCACCAGCCTGTTGCCATGGTAATAACAAATATGTAAACTAAAGCGTTGGGTAGACGCTACATATGAATTAGCCTACAGATGTCTTGGAAGACCGAAACTGTGGTGTCGCCATGACCTTGTATTTGAGGAGGCCATGCAGTCCAGTGGCTCTTTCAATTTTGTTCTATTAATAAAAAATTGGCAGAGCTGGTCCATATTGAAGGTGTGTCAACTTAAGAATCCAAAAAGTTAATGACATAACTCTAATAAATCGACTGAAAGCCGTACCTAATATAGGCTGTAGCCTAGTCATCCTTGGAACTATTACTCTTGGCTCTGCTTATAACAGTGTAGGAGTTTGGCCAAAGTCAAATGCCTAATTAATAATTTTGAGGAGTTCATGTGATGAAATGGTAAAAAGTTTGTTTTGTTTCCATATTTCATGCAATACTTTGCTGCAGGAGTTTTTCATCATGGCTAGTACCGCACAGAAAACATATTTAGGAGTTTTTTATGAGGGGCACAACCCCCCTTAAACCATCATCAGGATCGTCCATTACGTAGTAAATAATATAAAAATACAAATATCTTCCAGAATTTACAGAAAAGTCAAAGTCTAATATTCTTTACTCATATGAATTTACTTTGCATAGTGTATGATGATCAAGATTTAAATAAATAAACAAGAAAAAAACTTACGGCATTTGGTGAAGAACTTGTCTCTGATGAGATATGGTTCTTCAAATCTTGAGGCATCTTTTCTGGCAGTTGTTCGGTATTCTCGTAATAGTCTGGGTTCCAGTTGTAAATCTGTGAGGTAATTAGACAATCGATAAGTTGATACCAGAAATACACAAACATAACTAATTATCCGAGATTAAGTGACACTGTGAATTGTAGGGAGTAAGTTACAAAAAAACAAATGAGAAAGTGATAGTCTTTTGTTTCTTATACTGTAAGACGCTGATATTTAATTCAAAACTACTAGCAAAACAAAAGCTGCATGAACTTTCTACATAATATTTCAATTTAAGTATTGATTCGCTAAAAATCTATAGATAAGAAACGATAACTGCTACATTGATCAATATTTTCATCCAGTTGACCAGTCCAACATTCTCATTTTAATAATAGGTGTGAGTGACAGATTTTGTTTTGGATACAATAGCTAATAAACATTTACAAAATCGTCAGAGTCATCACCAGCACACAAAAGCTGTAGGTATTTTAAGGAATAATCACTCTTAACAATATTAACAATTAAGTTGATATAGTACCTTGTTTAACTTGAGGAAGATGCAAGGGGTGCCTGCGCCGTAGCTGTAGTTCTTCTGACTCGTGCAGGGTTCCCATGCCTTAATGTCCACATAACAGACTTTACCTTCTGGGGGAGAGTTTTCATAATCACAGTTTACAACATTACCACCCACAGACCGGTTCTTGTAAGCTGGAAAAGTGAAGACAAATATTACTGTCATAAATCTGTATAGAAACTCACAATTTTCAATTACACCTGAAAAAGCCAATGTCAAAGACCATTTGCAAAGCTCTAATTTACTGGTAGAGAAAAACAATTGGCAATTTTTCTTTGATTCTAATTTACTTTCCTTTGTCACCACCAAGTTTTCTATATATGACCTAATATTGAAGAAAATTTGAATGTGTGGTTTGATTGGAAATGGCTTATTGCCTGAGAATAAGGAGACAAATGACAGGATAAGCAAGCTTACCTTAAAAATTTTAGGCATCCCACTTAACTAAGTAACACAAAAATTAGTTTTCTTTATTTTGTTTTCCTTTGTGTTTTCTTTTATGTTACTTTAGTGAAGTGGGATGCCTACATATGTTAAGGTAAGTCTGCTTATACTGTACATTGTCTCTTTAAATGAAAAGTTGAATGTCTAAGGATGGACTGGAAGTGTGTCGAAATAGGTGATAACAGAGTTTGAAGGAGTGTGGCAGTGGAGGTCTTACATACAGGAGGAGTTTGAAGGATCTGGTCAAGCAAGTAATGATCAGTTGACTATCTAATGCCAAATACTATGATTTTTTTTTTTACAAAATTATATAGAAAATATTTTAATTTTAAAATACTACTTGGGATGTATAAAGAAATAAAATGAAAGCTCAATAGAGCACTGGGGGAATTGTGGCACCATCTTCAAATTGAATGCTTAGAATTTTACTTCTAGTTCCCCGTAGCCTAAGCGAAACTACTCGAATGATGGAAAGCTGGCTTTGGATCCTCAACCATCCGATAATTTGGGAGTACTATGAATACTATGAATATTGATTTTCATAGTATAACAATAGCATAGTGAAAAAACAGAAACTAATGACACACTAACAACTAACACACTACTATCACATTATTTTCTAGCTGTTTGTTTTTATTCCAAAACCGTACTGCTATTCTCAAGATGACTTTCTACAATCCTAGATTAAACCCATATATCTAATGTGTGCAGGATAAGCTAAACTGAGCACTTAGAGACTAATTGGATCAGATAGTTCTTTTAGAGCTTCCATTCTTGAGTTTCTTTTATAGCACCTCTTGTTTGGAAATACAGCAAACCGGACAGTGTATTACAATTTACAGAATTTACCTAGCATGATATGAAAGTGTTGCTTAATCAAACTGCAACAATGCAAATATCTGTAAAAAAATATGATCCACAAAAAAAATGGTATAAAATAATTGAGGATTAGCTACTCTAATTGTAGCTGCAAGTAAATATATGTTATGTGTAACGGGATTTGGTCTTATCCTACTTTACTGACTGCAATTATTTCAAAGTTAAGTTGCATTCACTATATCTATGTGTTTATGATTGAGTTGTAAGGCACTTACGCTGCAAGAACTCATCAATCATGTTGACCCATACTTGGAGGTTCTTGGTGTCAGTCTTCTTGAACCAGACGAGTGTGCTCTCAACATGACTCTCTGGGGGCATTGGCCTGAACCCAAGTCCTGTACAAGAAACTTCAGATTACTGATTATTTCTGGGGTCTGGAGCTATATCACTATCACTGGGAAATCTATTTCGTATTTGATTTTACTACCAAATATGAATAGAAATCTGTGGTATGAGTGGGACACCCTGTATGTAGCTTAAACTGTTGTTGGATAAGATATGCTGTTTGTTCAGTCAATAACTATTATTTAAAGCTGAATTAAGAGCAGCGGGGTTAATTAAAAAAGCTTTTGACTTTTAGGAATAGGAGTGGTTAATGTCTTTGGGAAAAGAGGGACATCTTTGGCCAAAGCCATTGTCATTTGTTTTAAAAGGAATAAAAGGCAAAAAAAAAATACAAAATATATTGACTAAACTATAATACGGTAACCTTTTTGAAATAATCCAAAACATTTTCAGGTTTTGTATTTATATACTTAGAAAAAAATGGCAAAAGTGTATTATTTTAAGGAAAGTCGCTACTGAAACCAGTGAAAAAAATCCTTTTAAAAATTATCATACATACTTTTTTAGTTTTATTTAGTCATAGGAAAAGGTTTATCGCAGTTAAAGTAAAAAAATATGTTTTTACCTACTTTGGAGTTTTGTTTATCTTTTTTTCGGGAAAAATATGGGTTTTAAAAATCTCTTATAACTTTTTAACTACTGCACAGTTTTATTGTTTGATATATCATTTTAAATAGCAAGAAAACTACTAACTTTTTGTGCATACCCATATTTTTTGTCAATTATTTTATGAGTTATGGCTTCATAAATAATCTTTTTTATTCTTGTGTAATTAATTTTCTTTAATTGTTTTCATGAACTTGTATTTAACCTATGACAATATCCATACACAAAAAAGCTGCTTTATAGTATAAACAATGTGTGGTTGAAATTTAATTCATAGAGCTTTTAATAGTTAAATAGTTATATGAACTTATATATACAAAATAACAAGATTTTAAAGTTGCGGAAAACAGGGGACTAGTTATACAGTACCACAGAAAACATACTACTATAATCCAGAATGCTAACCGCATGGTAAAAAGCATATTAAGTGTTTTGAGAGAGCCTAAAACACTTAATGCTTTTTACCATGCGGTTGGCATTCTGGGTTATAGTAGTATGTTTTCTGTGACAGTACTTAGTAACTATAGAACCAAGTGTGCACCCTCCACTTCAGATATTTTTTTCACAGTGATAAAAATATTATACCATATGTTGTGTTTTTCTGAAACCCAATAGGTACATACCTCATACGCCATAGAACAATAAAAAATGGTATATTTCACTACTAGGACTGAAAGTGGCATTTTCCGGCGCGCGCTCAAGTTTTTGTGTTCGGCTTCGCCTCACAAGGGAACCCCAATTTCATGTGTGAGGCAAAGCCGAGTATGTGAGAGTTATTTTCACGTACGAGGCGAAGCCGAGGACGGGAAAAATGGAACAAGTGCCGGATAATATCTTTTGGTACGAGTTATGAAAGATACTTTTCATCACGACGCAAAAATACACTAACATAGGATAGCAGACCTCAGTTATATTGCAACTGTTTTATTTCTCAATTAATTAGATTGAACATCAAAATAAAATAAAATCTTTTAAAAAGAAACATAGGTTTATTTTTTGATTAATTTTTAAAACAAAAAATAGGAGAAAATAAAGGAAGCCTACGTATTTTTTTCAATAAATTTTGTCTAAACATCAAAATAAAAGAACTAAACAACTTTCAACCCTACACACAGCTGATTGACATCATTAAATTAAACCGTAACAAAACGCGTAGTGCGCGCGTAGTGAATAAATGGAGAACTAATTGAGAGCGAGGGAAAGTAAATTTAGAGCAAGGGAAAATCAGCTGATCGATTTTCCCTCGCCCTAAATTAGAGCTTGGGAAACGACGACTTTCATTGATGTCAGCTGTTATCGAAAATAGTTACTTTCCTTACGGAGTGATGAAAATATTTGTTTCCTAAATTGGTCATTTTCAGTAGTGACTCCCCAAGAAAATTCAAAGTGAGCAAATAAATTGAAGATTTAATCAAGAAAGTTAAAATTAAAAGTTGGTAAGGCAAGAAATTTCAGCTCAAAATTCTTTATCTAGCAGCTGAAGAAACATTTTAGTTATACCATTACATTAGAAAACAGTGTTGCCAATATGGAAATGGCATACATAATTCTGTTAACAAAATTATAAAACTAAATATAAAGTACCACACCCAGCACTCTAATATTTAAAGATTAGATACCTTATCCTTACAAATATTTCACTGACTCATTTAGCTCATGAGTAAAAGTGTGTGTCATATCATCACAGAGAATTAAGGTACAGGAGAAACATTCAATGGTACACTAGGGTGTCTATCTAGACATGTATGGGTGTCTGAATATATGGTGTCTAGGGCAAACTCCTACAACACTCACGGTGGCTGTGCCCAGTGCGATAGAAATTTCCACAAGTGTTGGATCAAAAAGTACTACAAGTAGACTTCTCATCCCATTGTAAATTTTGAAGCACGTTTTTCGTGTCTAGTTCATGTACGTGACACATGGGCGCTAGTGTCGACGAAACTTTGTTTCTATTATTTTAGGGTTAATTTCTTGATTTCTGCTTTACTGTTTGGTTATATTACTAGGGACAAGTTATTGTTTATGATTAGATCGTATTATTTGGTTAAACGAGGTTTGAAATGGCTGTAATAACGGGAAACAAATTGTAAACAAAACACGACCTCTACAGAAAACCGTACAGAACTAACAATAAAATTGTCTTCAGCTGTTCCATAAGGATGAGAAATCTACTAAGGGAGTATGTTTTATCTATGGTACTACACACTTTTTTCAGTATCCAACTGGCAATCTTTCAATTGCTAGACTTTTATAACCACTGAGCTACCCAGCTGTTAAAGCCACAAGACAAACACCAAACGTAGGAAGTTTCTTTAGGTAAACCAGTTAACATTGACTTCAAAATGAGTAAAGTTTAATGTAGGCCTATAATTTACCTGGGTTGCTGCCAATGAGAGAGGCATCTAGCTGCCATTTGGGCACCTTTGAGTCCAGTGTTTGGTAGAAGATGGCCAACATAGCGGAGAAGAATCCGATCAGGACTGAGTAGAAACAAAAGTAGAACAGTAGGATCTTGGCTGTAACACAGATATGACATAGTTAAGTAACTCAATAATCGTCTAGCCAGCACAAGTTGTAAAAAAATGTTACATGAAAATTACAAATCTTTTGATATGTTTAACGATAATATGGTGTCAAAAAATTACATTATTTTTACGTCCATAAATGTCTCCTTATCGTAATGTTAAAATAGAGTACAAATTACCTTAAATTGATAACAAAAGATGATTTTTACATATTTTTTGCTTATGTTTTATACTATTTTGTTTGAAAATCCACTTTATTTTGCACCTTTTCCAACATTATTCAACTTAGATTACCTATTTCAACTTGTTGCCTTTACTGTCTTGCATCTTGCATCATTCAGCAACTTTATAACCAAAGTACCAAGAGGACCAAGCATTGCTTGGCTTTCCAACCCAATAAAAATCAATGGTGGCGCTGGTTTACTATTACTATTTACGTCCTATAACTCCAGTCATAAATTAAAAACCTCTTTGGTTTAAGGTTTGTTTATAATCAGCTGTTATATTTTACTTTATTCCTTTTCTTTTTTTTTGTTGATTTTTACGATTTTCGTGTCATTTTGTTGCCAAAGTAGTAACCTATTTTTACTTTCAATTTCATTTTTTTTACATGTTTAGATTTTCGTCGGCAGTTTTGACTGCATGTCGAACACGTTTTTAAGCCAGAAATAAATTATTTACATAATTTGAAGGAAGTCGTCGAAGTCGTTTTAGAGATATTTGTGCAAGCAAGCAAGTAGACATACGATTAAGCATACATTGCTCATATAAGAGTATAGTAAAGGATAGGATTAAAAATGTCTAAGGCACATCTATATTGTGTGTACAAATTGCTGTAAGAATCTAACGATTAGTTAAAATTACATGGTTCAACCAACCAAGTGCTATGTCTATTTTCCAAGTCACAACAATGTAGTAGTTTAAACTTAATCATTGGGGTTATGAGATTTCAAGGGGATTTGGGAAATCTGATTTTGTATCTATATATACTATGTGTGTTTTTTTTTTTTTTTTTTTATAAAAAGTACTTTATTTTAGACGAGTCTCTAAAAACAGTAAACCACACCTTTGAAACTATTGTTGTAGAACTCAGTTGGTTAAGTTAAAACTGAATTTACCTCAGCTATATCAGCGCTTGAACTGCAATATTTCGTTTGTAACGAGGTTAAATTTCTTTCATACAGTACACGTTTGATATAAATATTTATTTTGTCCTAGTTGGCATTCTGCACGACACAGGTGCTGTGACGTCACAGCCACGTCTGTATTGATCGCTAGCGCTAGACTGACCGTGTCAATCATGGAAACCTCTCATCTGTCGATAGACGGGAAGGCGCCTAGACACAAAACATGCAGTTTATTGCAGTTTGACCCAATTATAAATGCATAACATTTGTATAACTAGGACTACAGTTATTACTAGATTTAATTTTTAGCATCGGGATAACTAACTGTTATTCTCTAAATAAAATTTTAGAATAACTAAAGGCTGCCCATTTACAAGTTTAATTCCAGTATATGAACATGGATAATTAATTCTCTTAATATCAAGGGTTGTGAAGAATCGTCAAAACACAAATACACATGAATTTATTGAAATGTAACAAAAACGTGTACAATTTAAATACTATAGACCACGGACGCAAGGTGTTGTTGATATGCTGGTATCAATATGTTTGCTGAATTAGGTAATGTTTGTTCTTATTCTTCACAGTTCCAGTGGTGAAGAGGATTATTCATATGGTCTTACTTCGGGGGGATGACCGCGTCGCTGAAAGAGTTTTAAGAGTGACTAGAGGCCGCCGTTTCGGATGTATCCATCTTTTGGGAATACTATTGTTCAACTTTTTGGACAGTTCGAACGGTTTGATTTGAACAGTAGTTCGCTACGAAGATGGATAACTACGCATCCCAAACGTCGGTCTATAGTTTCACTATTTCAACGACGCGACAATCTACCATGACCGTTGCCTATCATCTAGGTACTCGTAGATTATGGATTATTCATAGTCTGGTATTCAAATCGAGAATAAACCTTAACCTATGAAAATATTTGTATAAAAGAACCATGGTTGCCTAACCTAAGTACTACGCGTATTTCGATATTTTATTCTATTTGTCAGGCTTATTAGCCTATTAGTAGGAGATAATGACAGTTAGACTTGCAATATAGGTTTTTTTGGGTATTACGGGTTTTTGCAAGTTTGAATGAGTTTTATTATTAGAATCTACGATAATATTTTAAAATGCTTAAGGATTTGTTTTATTTCAAAGGAAATTAGAAAGCTATGAACGAATGTAGTATAGTAATAGTGGACGGTAAATTGTAACTACGAATCCCTGACACTGATATTCAGTTAATCTGCAACAGCACGTTTGGCTTCAACACGGCACGTCTCCTCTAAAACTAAACACCACCGACAAAAATAGAAGAAACAGACGCATACTTTAAATATAGCCGACAATATGGGGGACGTACCGATGTATTCTGTCTGTTGCTAATCAGCTGTAACCGACCGAACCGTGTACTGCAAACATTGCCCTTGCCAAGTTGTGTTTGCCATTTACAAGAACTAATAATAAATATGTTAGTAGCAAGTTTGATTTTGGTTCAAGTGATTATATTATTTTTTGTATTATATTATCAGAAGAAGATAGTTTTGTACTTTTAAATAGTTGTCTAATTTCTTACCCAATCAAACTCAGTTCTTTGCGACTTTTCGCAATAACTCTCTTCTCAGAACTGAATTAATTTATTGCTTATTTAACCCAACCACATAAGACAAACGTTCAGTCAACAATACAGTCTAACTATATGCAGTAAATATAGCTGTTTTATACTCATGAGTGCATATATTATGTCAAATAAGTATAACATCGTTAAGTTCTATAAGGGCATTGACTATTAGTGAAGTAGACATCCCATCTATATGGACCAGCTGTAGCCAACTTTTTGTTAAAAAAGAACGTAGTTGTGTGAGCCAGTCACAGAATGCGCTAGTGACTAAAGCTCTAATTTCTACCGTATTGTTTGTTGCTGGCCAACTTGATGGGTCTGAGTCATAACAGTTGCTATAGCTCAAAATAAGTCATTTAATTAGTTTAAATCGGTAAAAAGATTGTGCATTAGCATAGACAAAACATGTTTTATTTATGGTAATCTGTCGGTGGCTCACATCGACTACGACGATTTTGGTAAAAAACAAACTGGTTAAAAATATAGCATGGGGATGGAATGGGGTTGGATATGGTACGTAAATAATCAGATAAATTAGCGATGATGCGAAAAACGTTTAAGTACATTAAACCATTACCTAAATTAACCTAAATTTCTTATGAAAGACGCGTGTTGCGGTACACCGGGAAGGGTGGGAAATTAAGGCAATTGGTAGGCATGGCAATACTTTTAATACTGAAAGTAGTTTGACAGTAATTGAAAAATGTACTAATATAATACATTTTTTAAATCATTTCTTAGTTAACATTAAGGCTTTGACCTAAGATTTGTAATATGAAATAATACAAACTTGGTATAGTAAAAACTTTGGTTCTGTGCTGTCTTAAAATCGTTGACATTACACTGCCTTGCAAATAGACATAACTTTGTGTAATCAAACCTCTCAAGTTACAGTACTGAAATCATATTCTTGACACATCTGAGATTTACATTAAGAGGGACGCGGGGTGTTACATTATCTGTAAGTGGGATTTTAAAGCTTGAGATTATTCAAAGACAACTTTGTAAAACACTTTTAGTTCAACAATTGTAAAAGTGCTTGTGTTATCGTAAACAAATCAACCACTTTACATTGATGAAACAAAGCATGTTTACATGAATTGTGTAATAAAATATGTTTTATGAACTAAATACCCCCGCCGCAGCAAACCTGCAGACTTAGCGAATTTCCATTTGCCTGATTGGATTTACACTAAAATGTCTCCTTAAAAATATCACATTTGTTCCCTATTTAAACGGAATTATTTTAACGTGTACTTAGGTTTGCTGCAACAGGGAGGGTAAACAAGTTTTTTAAAATGTAAAATGTTAAAAGGTACTGTAGTTTAGTAAGAAATTAATGTATTTCCAAATTTTATCAAAATATGTTCATAAACAAGCAAACTACAACAGTTGACTTATTCTCCATAAGAATAACATGGGAATTTTAAAATTACAATTTTTTTGAATTTTATCCGTAGCAATTAGGCGCATAATAACGCTTCAATATACTAAATTATTTGTTTTTTGAGCTCTATAAAAATGTTTAGAAAGAAATTGTGAAATTTCAATTTCAATTATCGTGCGGATGGACATATATATATATAGATATATAAAAATTTGAACGAATTGTGTTTTTGGCCTCTGGGGACATCAAAATGAAAAAGTAAATCGGTCCCGGGCCTAGGTCTTACCATGTACGCTACGGTAATACGGTACTTCCCTATAGGGAAATTCGCTAAAAGGATTGCAATTTTTGTCAAAAAGGAAAAAAAAAACTATTGACTCCAGTTTTTTATCTACTTTCTAAATATCTACAAATTATTTAGCATTTTAAAAGCGAGTTAAAAGTGAAGTTTCTACATTCAAATAGCTAAATTAATCACATCATTGTCTGTGAAAGTTAGATTCTTTTAGTAGCACATTAAGCATTTCCTTAAATGAGCCATCTTCTTTCTGCAAAGGCATTAGAGGATGTTTAACAGTTTTGGGCCAGAATAAGAGAAGTTCCTCCCAATTTCAACCCTCACTTTGAAGCATAGAACATGAGCTAATTTCTAATTATGAGACTAAAGCATATATGATTGTAGCCTACATACACCTTCGTCGTTAATACCACATACATCTACCTATAACGTATATTTTATTTTAGCCAGTTGTAGCAATGAATTCCGGTGAAAAAAATGAAAAAAAGGTTTCTGTTTAGTTGAAGAGTCAATTGAATAGTAATGGCAATCGTTCGAGTTTCATTAATCATTATAAGTAGCCCAACAAT